ATGGATGGATGGATGGATGGATGGATGGATGGATGGATGGATGGAATCAGTACAATTGTTATGATAAAACTAGAGAAATTGCACTTCCTGTAAAAACACTGTGTGAATGCTGAGTGTTGAAATTTGATGAAGACACATTGTTTTGTGTAGCTAAAAAAAGTAAAAGGCTAGTTAATGCGTAGCGCCCATCTCCTGAATGAGCTGAACATTTTGATGGATGGCTAAAAGAGCCCAAGGTATACAGAAATGGACTGAAAAAAGTAAGCAGAAATAAAAAAAATAAGAAAACAGTTGTATAAATACTGAATCAGTGGCAACACAAGAAAAGCCAATTATGTTTTTCACTTTTAGTAATATTGATTTTAACGTTACAACACTGTAAATAAATGATGCCTAAGAAAAATGTAGATTCAAAGCAGGTTGTTGTTTGCAAGATGCAAGATTCAGCATACATCCTAAAGGGTACTAAATAAATCAAGCTGTGTTTTCAGGCTCTTTTGCAGATGGTTCAGTCTCACGATGGATCAATCAGGTCAGTGATCGAGAAGGGAGACACTTTGCTGGCTTCAGTCCACTACCCCTCCGTTAGGGACAAAATGCACCGACTGCAAAAGGACAACGCTGCACTCTGTAATGCTGCAATGGTGAGGTTTACGTCAGCGCTTACGACATGCCAAGAGGAAAAGCCTCAATGTTTTTAACAATAAATAGTGCATAGTTTAAGAGCACGTGAAGTGTGGTGATCTTGATTTCTTGCATTAACTTTTAGTACTCAGTGTGGTTTGCTTGTTTGTGATTTGCATTGTCCAGGCTCATGTGGAGAATCTGGAAAGCCAGGTGAAGGAACAGGAAGCTTACCACACCGAGCTGCAGGTAGTGGAGCGCTGGCTGCTGCAGATGTCCAGCAGGATGGTGACTCCTGATCCAAGCATGAGCAGCAGCCTGGAGGCAGCAACTCAACAGCTGGCTAGGCACAAGGTGACAAATCGCATTATTTCGCTCTGGGTGCTGTTTGCCACGCTTGTGACAAACTATGCAGCGTGAGTAATAAAGCCTAATTAGAGAAAGATGTCCTTGAATTTTCACTCCAATTCCAAATATTTACTTACTTTATCCGTATGATGGTTGTGGAACTATAGTATAGATTGATGACATATTTGTTTCTTTAACTGCATTTTTCATTTATTGGTTTTAGTGTAAATCACTAACAGATTCATGAGACAAGCTGAGGGCTCATATACTCCTATTTTCTAAGAGTGGTTCTCCACTCCTTCTTTCATCCAATCATTTTGTCCATTTCCCACTGGACCACACTGTGGTTACAGTCTGTTCTGACCTCCTGTCAGTGAGCCATGTACAGACTCATCTTTTATCACCTTTTTATTGGAGTTTGCCCCTAACAAGATCCTTCTTTGTCATTTTAACAACCACAGGCCATCATGGAGGAGATTGCGGGCTTTGAGGATCGCTTAGCGTGTCTCAAAGAGCAAGGAGACCGCCTGGTACAAGGCTGCAGTGACCGCGTGCAGAGCCGGCTGAGACAGCAGGTCCAGACTCACCAACAAGGCATCAGAGACAGCTACTCTGCCATCTGTAGCACAGCTCAGAGGGTGAGTAAGGAGGGGATGGGAAAAGATAATTGATGAATATGGAGGAGGAGGAAGGAGAGAATCTTGGGAACATCTATTAATGTTAGTTTCCTAACATTTATAATGTCAGACGTATAAAAAAGTGTGATGCAATGGATGCCCTCACAAGCGTCAAAACAAATGCATGCAAACACAGAAGGCCATCCCGACAGCCAAGGTATCCACTTAATCCTAACTCAGTCTGACACTTAAACCCGTCTCTTTAGACAGCCCTTCAGTGCCGCTTTAGAGGGCACAACCAATTATATTTGCCAAAGGGGAGCTCAACAGCAGCCGCACTCAGACCCCATCAGCCAACATCACTAACTCAATCTCTCCATATTAATCTCCACAGATCCCTTGTCAACCCCGTTTTTTCACGCCTGAGCCAAAAATGATCACACGCCGCCATTCAGTAGATCTGGCTAGTCCTTTAATCCAGCTCCACTCTGTCATTTTGGCTATCTCTACTGTGTCATCATAGCTCACTTCCCTAGATACCAACTACTCTACCACCACCACCGCTCGCACATCCAATCTGGCGTTGTTTGATCCAGCCACTTTTTTACCACAACACTGCTGGCTTCCCTACAGCCGCGCCTCCAGTGTTATAATGGCTGCCAACTGCGTCCCAGCGCAACACAGCTCTAATATCCTGCCTGGCTGCCACTTGCCACCATGCCAGCCTTCTAGTCTTTGCCAAATACGCTAGGCAGTTTGCCAACCCTTTGGCCTCCCCAACTCCTCCTTTCAGATTCTCAAATTAACACTGTCAATCAGACGTTGGTGTTTCGCTCTCCCATGGAGGGCATAGACGCCTCCACATTCAACACCTGTTAGAAACAACACTGCATAACTGCCTGCTTTATGGTTTTTTTTTGTTGTTTCACGTCTTTGAAGTTGAAAAACACAGCTAGTCTGTTATTTTTTTCATTTATTGCGTTCCTTGTTTGCTACTTTTGGTTACAAACGACTCATCTTTGCTGCCTTAAGAATGTGAATCATTTCTGTCATAAAACATGATGGTAATAACGTTACAGGTGTATCAGAGTCTGGATCATGAGCTACAGAGACATGCTAGTCTGCAGGATGCTTTGCAGCAGTGCCAAACCTGGCTCAGCTCTGTTTCAGAAAAACTGGAGCCTCATACAGAACCTTCTCTCAGCCTCGAGGAAGCTCTGCAGCAGGTCAGAAAGCCTTTTCCTACTCAGTGGCTTAAACATTCTTTAGGTGCTTATTATTGTTAGTAAGTTACATTTCTTCTAATGCGTGTTGTTTTCTGTTTGAAATTATGCATGCATCTCTTATTTTATGAATGCACTGCCCTTATCTTGCATGATTGTTGCAGTTTTGCCATCAAAAGCAACAAAAACCATTGTAAAAATCTTTATTAAACAGGTGAAGCAGGAGAGGACTCTGCAGGAGCAGGCCAGCACATACCTCCAGCTCTTGTGTTCAGCTTGTGACCTGGGCGAACCCAGGGTCAGGGAGGCTGCAGGAGCTATCCAGCAGATCAAACTGCAGGTCGGTTCACTTAAAAAGCCTTTTTTTTTAGAGTCTATGTCTGATTGTTTTGCATTTAAAATTGGATTATTTGCCCTTGGAGTGATTCCTTTGTATCTTCATTTTCAGATTGAGGAGCGCATGCTTCTTTGTGAAGATGTAGCAGACAGCTGGAGGGACATCGAGGAGCAGAAGGCAGATCTAGAGACCCAGCTGAGAGAGACAGAGCAGCAACTTCAGAACCTGATCAGGAGACCTGCAGAGCTGGAGCCTAAGATTGCACAGAACCAGCTGGACAAAGCACAGGTTTGTGTGTTTGAGTTTTTATTTAAATCCAGCAGTTAACAATCACCATGAACCTTATATGCCTCTCTGGAAGTTCCATACTGCAGAGGTTTTGTCACAAAAAAAAATCTTTGTGTGATTTAATATGGCCTAGAATTCGACTCTGCTCCTTCTTCCTTATTCAGAGAATAGGGATCTGTGAAATGCAGATCTGGCGTCACCTAAATCTACGCTCACCAACAGTTTTGCAAACTCTTCTGAAATAATAATCAAGTTGCTAACTCTCACTCATTACCATTAGACAAACAGAGAAAGGTTCGGAGTCAGAGTCAATGCAGGACTGAGCGACGAGCCAGCTGGCTGAGGGCTTGAACGACTTCAGGGCAGGAACTGTTAAAACAAAAATAAGAAAAGAGAAAACAAATAAGGGAAAAAGGCTAACAAGTAGACCAACATACCAGCTATTTGTTGCGTTGTCTTTTTTGTAAATGTGCAGAACCGGGTCAGTCCTCATTACTAGTTTTGAGGCAGAACCCAGCTGTTTTTGGTTGTATCTCATGATGTCTGATCTCAAAATGAAAGCTGAAAATGCATGTCTTCATCAAAATTTCTCCAAGAAATCTAAAATGTCAAACACAAAGTACATTCTTTTGCCGATTTTTCTCAGCTTCTTTAATGCTTGCTTCTTATTGCATTATTTCCCCTCACTGCATTTAACTCAGCTGTAAAGCCTCATCTTGTATATCTTACATTCTGAGGTGGTTCTCTGCAAATTCAAAAGCAGAAATCCTCATTCACATTCATGACGCGTTGCTCGTGATCTGTCTTGTAAAATATAAAATACCTCATGGGCACAATAAAAGCTTAAAAATGTGATTTGTGGTAGTTTTTTTTTTTTTTTGTATTGCAACAATACAGTTGCAACGCCAAAAGAAAAATCCAAACACCACTTTTTAAACAGCGTTTTAGACATGGGCTGAATAGTTTGCTTTCTTTTGTGCAGGAGTTCCTGCAGCAGATTAAGGAGAAACAAATGGAGGCAACTCGTTTAAACGAAGCCATCAGCAAGTTGACAGGTGGACAGGTCTCTCCTGTCCTGGAGGAGATAAGGAGACTGAAAAAAGGCTGGATGGAGCTGGGCCAGCGGGCTGAGGAGTTGGAAGCTCAGAGGGGGGAAGACATGCAGCGAAGTGGAGAGTACCAGGAGAGCGTAGCTTCTGTGGAGGAACTCTTTCACCAAGTATCCAGGGAATGGGACTACCTCGCCAGGTATGAAGGCCTGATTTGAGACTACGACTTTTTGAACCTGTACATTCATTTTCAAATAATCCATAATGTACTCATATGTATCAAACTGCAAACTTGATGTTCTTCAACTTGTGCATGTGTGCTCCTAGGGCTGACACGGAGAGTACAAGTGAACATCTAGAGGCTCTGAGGAAGCTTGCCAGTGACCTAGAAGATCAGAGAGAAACACTTGAAGACCTCAGAGACCAGAGACAATCCATCCTGCCTCGACTCAGCCTGCTAGACAAAGAACTGATCAAGCAACAGGTGAGAGCATTTACATACTGCTTTAAATCATTGACAACATAATCACAAAATTAATTTGTAAAAAGATATTGGGTTTAGTAGCAGCGCTGTTTTACCTTTCTCCAGGTGGGTCATTTGGAGCAGCGCTGGACCCAGCTGGAAACCCTCATTCTGCAGAAAATTCAGGACTCTGCTCAGACACTTGACGATCTCGTTCGGGTGGAGACCCAGCTGAGGGATGCCAGAGAGTGGGTGGAGAAACAGCGACCTGCTCTGACCTCCGCGCTGCGAACCAGCCCTCCGCCAGATCTCGCTCAGAGTTTCCTGTTTGACCATCTGAGCGTTTGCGTGGAACTGGAGGCCCGTCAGCAGCTGCTGGCTCAGGCGGTGAGCGAAGCCCAGACGGTGGCCTCCAGACTCGGGCTGAGTGAGAAGAGATGCTTGCAGGAGCTTGTTGAACAAGCCCAGATGGAGGTGGAGGCTCTCGGGGCTCGAGCTGCTCAAAGGAGGAAGTACCTCACCAAGGTAAACAGCTGGAGCTTTGACTTAGATGCAAAGCAAGCTTTAATTATAACTTCAAGGCTTTACGACCCAAACTCTAAAAAATCTGAAATGTTGTGTAATATGTAAATAAAAACAGGTCAAATATTTGCAAATCAAAAAAAACATCTTATTCACAATAGAAATACAGTAAACATAACAGCAAAACTTAAAAATTATACCATTAATGGAAAAAAACGAGCAATACATCCCCCCCAAATAAATAGGTGTGAGCAGAGCCATGTTTATCAATGTTTAGCATTCTGTCTTTAACAACATTTTGTAAACATCTGTGGACACGAGTCGTTGGAGACTTTGGTGATAAATGTTGATCCCTTCTTGTCTGATGTAGGATTCTAGCTGCTCAACAGTTCTGGGTTGTCTTTGCTGGATGGGAGCATATGTTGTTCTAAAACCTGTAAATATATTTTTGCATTGATTTAGCCTTTCAGAGGTTGATGTGTAAACTGCCCTCAGGCACCAATACATCCCCACACCATCAGGGAAGCAGGCTTTTGAGTTGTGCACTGATAGGCTGGATGGTTCCTCTTCTCTTAGAAGACTCAGATTCATAGTTACCAAAAATAATCCTAATTTTGATTAGTCTGACCACAAAACAGCTTTCTACTTTGTCTCAGTCCATTTTAAATTAGATTTACCCAGAGAAGACAGCAGGGTTTCTAGATGTGTTCAGATATGGCTTTTTCTTTGCATAATGGAATAATGAACAGTTTACAGACAGTGATTTGTGGAAGTGTTCCTGTGGCCGTGCAGTGATGTCCAGAACAGAATCAGATCAGAGTCAGCACCAACAAATACTGAGCTTCAGCCTTGTTTTTGAGCTCAGAGATTTCTCCAGATTCTTGAAATCTTTTGATATGAACTGTAGGTTATAGGATATTCAAAGTCTTCCCAACTTTTCAATTAGTAACATTATTCTGAAACTACCAGTTTTAGAATCAGTTTTTTGCAGATGTCCATCTTTTCTTGTTAGATATTCAGCATCTAACATGCTATTTTTATACCCAGTCCTCTTACTGATCTGTTCATCTAATTAGCTGCCAAATGCTTTTCCAGCTGTTTGTTATTTACCACTGACATTTACAGCCTTGTGTTGCTGCCATATAATACAAAATTGCCTTTTTTTTAAATAAAATATTATAATTTATTAGTTTAAACATTTGGTGAGTGTACTTTGTTTCATTGTGAATAAATTGAGGGTTTCTCAGATTTTCAAGCCATTGCATTCTGTTTTTATGTACATTTTGTACAACGTCCCAAATGTTACAGAGTTGGGAATCCACACTGCTACTAAAGAAACTTCTGTTATTTTGATTTGAAATATGAAACAACTTTAATTTTTTCCCCCCTCCAGGCTTTTACAGAGCGAACACAGTTCCTTCAAGGTCTGGGGAGAGCCTTATCTTGGGTAAAGCAGCAGGAGAGGAAGGCTTTGATAGATGACCACATTGCATTGCTTCCTGAGGACCTGAGCAAACAGGTTGCTGCATGTCGGGGTGTCCAGAGCGGATTACGAGCTTACCAGAGGGAGCTGGCATCACTCTGGGTACAAGGACGAGAGCTAGAAAGGGATGCCGCCGACAAAGAGAGAACTGAAACACTGGCAAGGCTCGAGGAGCTTCAAGCGGCCTTCGAGACTGCCCTCCAGAGAACCACCCGGCGTCTGGCAAGCTTAGAAAAAGCTCTGACCTCAAGGAAGTACTTTCAGGTCGACCTGGACAAGACCTGCCACTGGTTGAGACGAGCAGACGCCATAACGTTCCCAGAAATCAATTTCAGCAGAGTTGACGAGGGCTCCGATTTGCAAACGCAGCTGTCTAACTTTCATAGTGTCTTAGAACAGGCCTCAGAGTACGAGAACCTCCTTCTTATTGTCCAAAGAATCGGCCAGGAGATCCTCCCTACTCTGAACGAGATCGACCACTGCTACCTGGACGAGCGGCTCAACGCCCTGCCGCAGCACTACAACTCCATCCTCGCTCTGGCCAAAGAGAAAAAAGACAGAGTCCAGCAGATGATCCTAGAGAGAAAGGAGTTCAGCACTTTCCTTGATATAACTCGCAATGCCCTGCAGGAACTGCAGGAGCAGTTTGACAATCTGGAGAAGCAGACTATCAGTACAGTAGAGGAAGACTGTGTTAGATTAATGAATAAATATAGAAGTATTGATGAAAGTTTAGTTCACATCAGCCCTGCTGTTAGGGAACTTTATGGGAAAAACGAGGGGTTTCTCATCAGGGGTCATCAGGTCAGAGTGGAGGAGACGCAGCAGCTGGTTGTTCTCCACAACACCCTGAAGAGGAGGAATGATCAGAAGATCAAACATCTCAATGAATGCTTGGGAAAACTAGCCAACCATAACAGGGTGATATCCACATTATGCTCAAAATTAAAATCTTGCAAAGAGGCGCTGCTCAAAGTAAAATCAAACAAAGATTTAAGCACTTCGGATAAAATCGCTCATCTGTATTCGCTGCTGCAAAGTCTAGATGACATGAGATCTCAGGTTGAGGAACCTTACGAAGAGGCCAAATCTCTCAATCTGAAGTTTGAAGCCGCTGCTTTTCAGGAAACTACGCTGCACCTTGAGTCGCTGCAGTCTCTGCATCGTGACGTCACGTCTTTTGTTGGAAAAAGTGAAACTGGAGTGAAAAACGGAGATGATTTTACAAGTGAGGCCGAGAGCACGTTGAACGGGTTGAAGAGTCTTAAAGACGAACTGAAGGAGCCTTTAATCTTCTCAGAGGTGAAAACTGAGAGGATGCACGAGGAGAAGCGGAAGCTGAAAATCATGGAGGAGGAAATGAAAAGTATATCGAGGGCAGTGGATTTCTTGAGTGTCAAAACAAAGCAAACGTATGAAAGTAGAAAAGAAAACGTTCCTGCCCACGTGAACGAGAAACTGCAGGAGCTGATAAATCTGGGAGCTGAAGTTCAGCAAGAAATTAGTGCAAAACAGGTAATTGTTTATGTTACCCAATGATTTTTCCTTTTATTTCCTTATATAAAGTTGCAAGTTACAAAGTGAGTTATGTTTATCAGCCATTTGATTCACATTTCATAATCTGTTTTATGTAGTTTTCCTTCTTTTGCTTCATCACATTATATGTACAGTATTTAGGAGGCCGATTTTTAAATATATCTCATAAAAATAAAATGTGTAACCAAGTTAGATAAGCAAAAAACCACATTGTTTGTTTAAACAAATTGTTTAAAATCACATTCTATGTTTGTTTAAAGGAGACTTTTCCCCAAAAGACACCGTCTCTTGAGGTTTCAGTGGCACATTTGTGACATCGTTTGGTGACTCACAGCCAGTTTTAGGGAGAGTAGTGAGAAACTAAATACCCTTCTCCACTCTTTCTTGACTTGCATTTTTCCAGATAGCTTTGCAGACTCAAACTACGCTCAGTAACTTAAAGCTTATTACTGTATGAAGGCATTTACTTAACCCAGCCTGGTTGTTATTAGTATTCACAGAGCTCAGACTGTCAGTAAACTCAGGAACAGAACTCAGATGTATTTTTCTTGACCGCAATTTAGTCCTTTGGTCCTGATTCCACTTTTTTGAACATTTACAGTGTTGGTCATGTGTTGGAACAAAAGGAACACCGGTGTAACTTACTGTATTTACCAGTTGGGCCAGGTTAACACATCCATCACAGTCATTTTGTAATTTGTCTGTCACGTAAAGGGTCCAATAACTCTGGAACTCTCCTTCAGTCTTTTCTTTTGTGTTTTGTTTCCAGAGATTAAAGTTAAAAAATGTTGATTCTATAATTTCAATCTCTGTAATGTCAGCTTCCAATAGTCTCTAACTTTCAACTGATAATAATGAATGTCAGTAAATTGGATTTCAGGACACATAACATAAAACACATGTATGTGAAAATACAGTAGTCCCTTGTTTATTGCGGGGTTTTCTTTTCTCAGCACCCCTGAAATGTGAACAAAACAACGAAGTAGGAATAGTAGTACAAGTAGTAAGAAGTAGTTTATATATATATATATATATATATATATATATATATATATATATATATATATAAAGGTGTTTTAAACCCTTCCCACACTCTTGCAATATTCTAAACAATGTTTCTAAACGCTCTAAAAGAGCACAGCATATCATGATCTCTGCTCTCTCTGCCATGCCCACTTCTCCGCTGCAGAGCGGAGATCATGACAGGCTGCAGGAGGGAGCTTCTCCCTGCACATGTGGGCTACACACAGGTGCAGCATGTGCTAAATAATTTAAAATAATTTATTTTAAATTTTAAAAATCCATGCCAGTCTTGCGGCTCATCCATCAATCAGCCAATTGTGTGTCGTCCACTCTTACTTTGAAAAACCGCAAAAGATAACATAAGTGCTATGTGTTGTCATCATTGTGTGTTCCCATACAATGGCGAAATTGGTTCTCTGCATTTAACCCATCGCACCTGGGATACACCCAGGTGGAGCAGTGGGCAGCTATGTAAGCGTCCGAGGAGCAATTAGGGATTCGGTGTATTTCTCAGAGACACCATGACATGTGGAAATGGCTGGTGGTTGAACCTGGGACTTTCAGGTCCTGAGTCAGCTGCCCTACCTCTACCCCGAGCGAGTCCACAAAAGTCGAACCGTGAAGTAGTGAGAGACTACTGTCTTTGCACATTGTGGCAATGTTGTGTATGATAAAAGTTGGCGATTTAGCATTAGCAAAGCAAATTTTTTTGGTTAGCTGTGCCCGTCACTGTTCCTTTCTATAAATATTTTTATTTTATTGATATTCTGACTAGAAAATTTAAAAACCTACATTTAACACATATTTTTTATACCATATGTCACTACATTTTTTTATTTATTTACATTGTAAATCTTTGACAGACTACCTAACCCTGGTCATCAACTTCAGGTGAAACAAAATGAGACATACAGTTCATTAAATAATTCTGTGTGTTCCAGCTTGCTGTAGATCAGGCTCACGCTCTCGTCCAGAGACACCACTTATCTCTACAGTCCATGCAGAAATGGCTGGACTCTGTAGCAGATCTGCTCCAAGGGACCGGTTCAGGGGTGGACCCTGAGAACCACACAGACTGCATGCAAGACCTTGAGGAAGTTTTAGCCCAGGAGAAGAACTTCACAGCTGGCTTAGAGGAGTTAAAGACTTTGGATCCTCTGTTGGTTGATTTTATGGACGCAGCAGTGATGAGTGGGTTCAGAGAAAAGGTTCAGTCAATGCAGACGATGAAGTCAGAACTCAAACAGCAAGTGGATGCTTACAGAGAAGTACTTCAGAGGTTTGTGCTTATCCATCTCCCTGAATCAAGTATATAAATCCAATATAACATTTAATCTAAAGTTTGGTCTTTGTTGTTTATCAAATCGGTCAAGAGTTCTTCTGAATATGTATTTTTCTCAGGTGTGGTGCTCTGTGGAGCTCCTTTCAATGTGAAAAAGAGGCACTGGTTGAACACATGAATGATTTAGAGAGCGACATGGCCTTGTTCACTACAGCTAAAGCCATCAGTGTCCACAAGGCAGAGGACAAGTGTCAAAGATACAAGGTGGGCATTTTGATTGATAGAGCGTTAAATATTTCCAGAAATTATAAATCCACAACACTTTTTTTCTTTAGAACGTTTCAGGTCTAAAAGTTATTATAATATTAAGAGTTACTCTAGTAATTTTCCATATATATGGATATATAATGTGGAAATGCAGGTCTGCACTCAATGTAAACAAAGCCCTATAAGTTGCATACTTTACTCAACAAATCTGAGCATAATTACATACCATCAAACCATAAGTGGTGGACTTATTGTTCTAAACGGCTCCACCATGGACGCCATTGCTGGCCTGTTTTTAGTCACTTTGGCTCTTTCTGTAGGTCAACAAGTGTATGTGGTAACTAGCAGCTGCACTCACTGCAGCATTGAGAAATGTGTGTATTAATTGTTGTCTTTTGACCGCAGTCTCTGGTGGCTCAGATCGACATGCTGCAGTTGCCTCTGAATGCTTTGAAGGAGAACGTAACAGAGTTGGATCAAATCATCTCTGAATCCAGCCAAGCTCTCACCAGCCACATCATGTCGTCACTATGGCAACGATGGACGAGGCTCCGCTGCGTTGCCCGAGCCCAGGAGAGGGTACTGGTGGACACTGTGAGGGAGTGGAGAAACTTCATAGAGAAGGTATTCTATATATATATATAAAATCTGTGAGCTTGGATGTTGTTGCTGTGTGGGAGTGCGCTTCTGCGCGTTTTACTTCTATCATTGGCACAAACGTCAATTTGCACTACAGAGGAGTTTGATTTTTTTATTTTTTACTTTTTGATGAATCGCAAAATCTTTGTATGCTTGTGTGTGTGCAATTTGTGTTTCACAAGAATTGTACTTGGCACTTGTGTTGATGGCCTGGGATCTGTGAAGGTTCATAGCTTGGATCAGTCAAAAGCAGAAAGGCCAGTGTTTCTTGAACTGCAAATTAAATTTAATCAAAATTAAGTAAAATTGTAAAATTCCTCATGTGACCGGTTGCTTCTGCAGCCTAAATGCATGATTTAGATTTATCACTTTTTTTTTTACAAACACATATTAGACACCACAACCTGAAGTGCATCAAACTGATTCATCACATCAAATCAGGGATTAATTGTTATATTTGGTCAAACTAAACACATTTTTGGTAAAGCTGTTGCCTCTCAGCTAGAAGGTCGCCGGATCAAATCCAGGCCGGGGACCGTTTTTGGGTGGAGTTTGCATGTTCTCTCCGTGCTGCGAGGGTTTTTTCCAGGTACTCCGTTTCCTCCCAAAGACCAAAAACTTGCATATTAGGCTGATTGGTAACTGAATTGTACCTAGGTGTGAGTGAGAGAGTGAATGGTTGTTTGTCTCATTTGTCTCTATGTGTCCCTGTGATGGACTGGAGACCTGTCCAGAGTGTCCCCCACCTCTCACACAGTGACTGCTGGATAGGAATGAAGAGGGTGGGTGAGTAGGTAGGTAGGATGGCCGGATGGACTGACGGACGGATGGATGAAACTAGGAAGGAATGAAAATAGGATGGAAACTAGGAAGGAAGAAAGGAAAATAGGATGGAAATTAGGAAGGAAGGAAGGAAATAGGATGGCAACTAGGAAGGATGAAAAGAAAATAGGATGGAAATTAGGAAGGAAGGAAATAAAATAGGATGGAAATTAGGAAGGAAGGAAAGATAATAGGATGGAAACTAGGAAGGAATAAAGGAAAATATGATGGAAACCAGGAAAATAGGATGGAAACTAGGAAGGAAGGAAGGAAAATAGGTTGAAACTAAGAAGGAAAGAAGGAAGGAGGGAAAGCAAGATGAAACTAGGAAGGAAGGAAGGAAAATGGGATGAAACTAGGATGGAAGGGAGGAAAATAGGATGTAAACTAGGAAGGAAGGAACATAAGATGGAAACTAGGAAGGAAGGAAGGAAAATCAACCTGAATCCTATTCTTAGTAAATTATAATGAGTGTTTCTTGATGTTATTTGAAAGAAGAAGCCTCAGTCCAGATTTTGATAATGGGGTTTCCCAGCAGATATTAAAAATAGTTTTGCTCAACATCACTTCTAGTTGTTAGCACTGCTCAGAAAAGTACTTAAAAACATCATTTAGGATTATACAATAATCCAATATATTTATAGACAAAGCATTTATTTATCACTAAATCCAATTATCACAAATTTTCAACTGATGTGCTGGTACCTCAATACACAACCTTGCAGCTTGTGCTTCGGTTTGATGTGATGCGTCACATAAAAACATTGAAACACCAAAAATATAAAATCAAAATCCGATTATTCCAACTGTTTTGATCAGTCTGGGCATTTTAGCCCCATTATTGTGCTATTTAGTTTGCACAGCAGTTAATCTCTGTAGGTTAAAAATCTTTCAGAAAGTCTAGAGTGGTATTTGATCAAGACCACTTGAACTATTCCATGAAAACCCGGCTGCTTAGACTAAAATAAAGAAATCAGGGATGACTTGGGTGTTTTGCACAGTGCTGTACATGTAGAGACAATCAGAACAAACTGTTGCAGCGGCTGCAGATTTGGGTCAGTAACAACTGAACACCAGTTGCTGTGCAGTGATGTAACTCCAGGCTTCTGGCCAGCTGTGTTTTCCTGCCAAAGCACTGTGTGTCATGAAGCGTTTTCTCGCCTTTTGACCTAATTCACGCTTAGACGGTCTGCTGCCGAGATTTCCCACAAACCCTGCTTCTAAAAAGGAAAGGGAGTCAGACTGAAGAGAATAGCCACTTCCTCATATGTGGCACAATCCTTCTGTCCACTTAACCAAAGATGAAGTCATTCTCTGCTGTCTCTTTCTAAACTTTCACAAATCATGTACAAAATGCTGTTAGAAGATAATTACTCAAATTGGTCAATAATTTGCAGGTATAAAAAATGTTTTTTTTATACTCTGTTAGAGTCCCCAATATTTCTCTTGAAAGACTAAATTTAAAGACAAGTCATGAATATGAACAAATGCTTTTGTCTATGATTCTTATTTTTAATCAGATAGTCTAAATATGTTTTACTCAGAATTCCTTAATTATTTCTAAACTTGTCAAAAAATAAATAAAAAAGAACCTTTTTCATAAATATCTCATGAGATGCTGGAGAGTATTTACGTTTACAGTCCAGGTGTAAAAGCTTAAATGAGTAATCGTCAACTTTTCCCCCATTTATAAGTTAATCGATATATTTGAAGCTGAGCCAACATAATTCTGTTGCATCAACTGAATTGTTATTCTTACCTTTCTGGCTTCTAGATGGAGAAGGTTCGTTCTGTGTCCAAGGACCTCCGCGGTCGTGTTCCTGAGAGTACAGTCGAGAAGGCAGCCACCAGGGCGGCGCTCCAGAGCCTGCTGGAGTACCACGACTCCTTCAGCCAGGAGGTGGAGAAGGAGCAGTCCACACTGGCCCTGCTGGGGCAGCAGACCCGCTGCCTCAGAGGAGAGGCTGAGAAGGAGGTGCTGTTTGAGAAGAAGACGGAGAATGGACATGAAGAGACGACGTGCCTTCAGGAGATCAGGAGCATGCAGGAGCAGTACGACAGGTGAGAGGAACTGGACTGATTTTATTTTAGTTTCTGTTCAGTTCAGTCGATTTTATAGTGACAATTCAAAACTAAAGTCATCTCAGGGCACTTTACAAAAAGAGCAAACAAACGTAGTTATTCACAGTCCAGGTGAGGCTATAATTCAGAGCAAAACAATTATTATTTATATTTTAAATTTAGTTAGACATTTTATTTTAGTGTATAAAACCCATTTCAAAAGGTCCAATTCACCAAACTAATAAGACGCCACTTTACAATAAAACTACTGTCATAAAGAAGTAATAAAAACATTTTAATTAAATTAATATTTGGTTGTAAACATTATTATTTAGTAAGATTTAGGCTATAATAAGAGTTATAAGAGTTATTACTGAAGCTCAGAGGAGATCGGGCTTTTTCAGTCATGGGGCCCAAACTCTGGAACAACCTGCCCCCCAACATCAGGCAGGCCACCTCCCTTCCTCACTTCAAATCCCTGCTTGAAGCACATCTGTTTTCTCAGGCATTTCATACAGTGTAAATTGATCTAGTGTTTTTTAATCTGTGACCCTATGTTTTAAATGATTTTTATTAATTCTTCAGTTATTATTATTAGTGTATTGTATATATATATATTTTTTCTCTTTAATTTACTCATTGATTGTTGTTGTTGTTAAGCACTTTGATAACAGGTTCTGTTTTAAATGTGCTCTATAAATAAAGTTGACTTGACTTGACTTATAAGGAGGTTTTAATACACTGATGCAGAATCGGTTATTGACAAGATCAAGTGCTGAACTTTGAATTGTTCAGGTCAATTTTATATTTTGCTTGTTGCTCAGCTTATTTTAATTCTTCTGCTGGTGAATACTTATGTTCATCTATCAGGGTACTCCTGAAAAATAATATATGCTTTAAATTAGGGATGCACAATATTATTGGCGTGGTATTGGTATCGGCTGATATTAGCGATCATGTTAAACATTGGCTAGCAGCCATTCCATCAAAATAACTCACCGATATAAAAGGTGCTGTTTATATATGTGTATATATATATATATATATATATATATA